TGAGTCCCGCTTCCGTAAAGTGACATATGTACGTGGTCACATACAAGGCATTGTGAGGCAACGTCGGATTTGAAATTCCACAAAGCTGTTATCTTTGACAGATCTCTGGAAGGTCACATTAAACTTCGACTGCGGCCTTTTAGCAACCTTCTTGGGATCTATTTCTGGTTTTTATTGTGTTACATGGTCGTGGGTGCGTGCTCCGTACCTGCAAACCGAGCCGAGGGCTCAAGGGAACTGCCCACGCTCCATCTGGGAACTGCCCTCGCTCCATTTGCATGAATTGGAACAGTGTGAGCCGAGGTAATCTCGTCACCGCTCGCCGTCTTCGTTTTGCCTCAGCCTGCCCTGGGAATTACTGAGCGTCGCAAAGCATTAGTAACATGCGGAACTGGATTGTTCGCTCCGCGACAAAGGACCTTTTCCATGGCCTGCGATGCCGGGCGGAAATGCCAGGTTATGGCATGGTGAGGGGCTCGCCAGGTCGCCTTTTCATTCCGGCCTTTCCTAGCCTGTACAGAGTTTGCATCGTCGGAGAAGTAGCACCCAGTAGTACGTTTGGTCAGATCCACTGCAGCGCCCCTCATTCATCACTTCAAAAGAATCCCAGTTCAAATCTTGCTGAAGACCCTCTGCGTAAATTCGCACCTTTTCCTTAATGAGGTATTGTGTTTCACCCCCTGGCCACACTCCTGGACGATCCCGCAATCAGGATAGGTCACAATGTTCCTATCGGCGGTCGGGTGCAGTCCTGCACAATATAAGAGCTGGAATCGGGTGGTGGTCATGTAGGCCACCGCAGGACAAAGGCAACAGGTTAAGGCGCTGTTTCTTGAGGCGAATGACGGATAGTAATCGAGGTGCGAGCTGGAGAATACATCACAGCTAGCCGGATTACAACATATCCTGTAGGGTTCCATTGCCAGTTCCTGAAGCCCCATGCTCAGCACGGGTAATAACCGGTCCACCACCGTACACTCTGGTAGCACTACTGCGTGCCGTACAGCGGCAAATTCAAGGTTTTCCATGTCCATGCAATAATCCAGCGCGACTGTAACGGCTCCACAGCAACGATTATGACGCAGGACCGGCTAAGGAAATAGGGGCTGCGGCGGTACGGCGGCTGGGGATGTTTACACAGCGCCAACTAGCGCCAACTAGCGACCTTAATGAACGAGACGGGGACAAGATCTGATCGTCCGTGCGCATGCAGGCATCATCACATCTACCGCACATATATGAACGCTAGTTCTAAGGTTTTGCAACTGCAAACTCTTGCCTGTCATGGTCCATTACGATTGCGCTGCGGACAAATCCCTTTCAACCTTTTCCCAACAAGCTATGTAACAGTATGTATAGATCTATATCAGCATATGCATGTGCAAAGGTTTTTTCTGCGAGGAATAATATATGTACAGCGTCCGGTGCAGCGGCAAAGTGGTCCCCATACGCCAGCGGCACTGAGGTAAACGACAGGAAATTTATTACGAGAACCTCCATAATAAATATTTATAATCGCACATGGTGGGTTGGCATCGACCCTTGCAAATTCGCCGCCATCCTGGGCCCTACTGCCATTCTTATCCTGGGGTTTTCAGATTTCTATCCTAGTCTTTCCCATCCGTATCGTGTGCCCGACGACCCTTCCGACGACGACGCATCCTGACAGCTCTGCAACCCCCCTGCCCCAGACCCCAAGGGAATGGCCCAGGGTAGGGCCATCGGGCGACAATTGACCGTGAACAGCACTGGGAATTTGTAAGTGTTGGTTGTTAGTTGTTAGTGTTTTGAATAGGCTAGCTGCCGTCACGTTACATTGCGCTTCCGGAAGGCTTGAGTACCAGCCACCAAGTAAGCGACAAAAACTCAACACGAGAAGAATTCAGAGAGGAGCAGCAGCAGGGACCCGAGCCCTTGGAAACTTAGATTCGCGCGAGACAGCAAGACGCAACCAGTCGAATCGCAAGCTGTGAACTGAGAAATTATTTTGCGCACGAACCTGGTTGCAACTGCGGCACATCGAAAGAATGCACCCGAAGCACTAGTGGCCCCCCTCGCTCCCCAGAATGCCTACCTAGCGAGCCGCCTGCTCTGTGCGGCAACCATACCGGCCCCCTGCCCAAAGCTTGCTTGCCTTGCTTCGCGCCAGCTGTACCCCAAGAACTTGACAGCCATAATAACACATTCCAAAACCGGGCGAAACCCGCCAGCTCGCTCCACGCACGCCAAAGACCTGCAGCAGCAGTAACAGCAGCAGCAGCAGTAGCAGCAGTAGCAGCAGCAACAGCAGCTGCTTGGAGGCGTCGTTTGTGTGCTCTGCTCCACTGAGGTGTCCGGGCTCACAGCCGCCACCTGATGACACGCAGCAGCAGCAGCTTTTACAACATCATTTACCTTCGAGCAAGGTCGATTCTAGACCTTACTAGAATGGAGGCACTTGTTGGGGGCGGGCAGGGCAGAAAACCGTAAGAATGGATCCGTAAGAGGTCGCTGCCTATCGCAGCCCTAGGCCTAGTTCCGGTTCCGGGATCCAGAGCGACCCCGAGCGCCCGCGAATGCTAACCTTATCGGGGTGACCGAAGGTGGAAGAAGCTAACGAGTGCCCGAGTACCTTCCCTTTGGTTATAGCTGTGTTCACTAAGCCATTGCCGTTCCCTGAGTTTTTGGAGTGCGTTCACGCGATGGGCGTCTATTGAACAGTGATGCGGTTGCCCACGGGTCTGATTTCCAGGACTCACTGGCAGGTTGTTTTTGATATGAAGAGAGTTCTGCCCGCGTGGGCGTGTTGTAGAACATCCGAGTATTTAATGTATTCCGGTAGATACCTTTGGGGTATTCTATGTCCTGTTGTTACGACGGGCAATCTGTATCATCTATATCCGAGTAACGGTATGTGCGAGAGGGTCTCGAGTAAACGATTCCGGAGCGATACGCATTAAGGATTCACAGCTCAGGATCACTTCAAACCAACTTTGTATTCTATTATCTGTAAATCGCCAAAGTTATCATACTGAAATGGCTGGAAACAATTAGATACTGCCCGTACGCTGCCTTCCGCATCCCGTTAATGACCAACTACAGTATATGTGAGCAAAATAGCAGCGCATTTAATGAGAGATGGAGTTAAGCATATCATGTTGTGCTTCCTGTACGGTATGCGACCAGGATCCTCCTCCTCCGGAGTTGAAGCCATATGGTACGGCTGGCGGGAATCGTGATATAAATAGGATAAGAAAGTTTATGGTTAAGGAGAGTACCATTGTGGAAGTCGTTATGGATGTGATTAAACTGTCCTAGCCAACACAGGATGATGCTAGGCATTTCTTCGATTCTTTGCGTGGTCGCCGCGTTCGCGTAAGTTCTTCCAGCCTGAGTTACAGTGGGACCCTTCCGCCGGATTGAGATAACATGTTGCAAATACATGTATCATTATCACCCTTTGTTTTCGAGCCAACATGAGCTCCGCTAAGTTTGGCGGTCTTTGTAGCTGCAATCTTGTCGTGTGCATGCCTCGCAGCCCGGCTTTAATTACCGATGGGTTCGCCGGAAGCTGTAAACAGATCTACAACGAACCCCCAGTTGTTTGATGTGCATGTGGATTCGACATGACATTTACTGTCCTTGTTTGCCCCGTGCCTGTTCGCATGCTCAGGGTTGCACGTGCGCAGCCACCGCCCTTGTACAAGAGGTTTCCGTTCTGCAAATGTCCAGCTTCGCCATTTATCTACAGCTTAGATCCGGATGTCGAAAGTTATGGCAACGGAACGTTCTGCTTTACGCTGAACGTCACTCCTTCATTTGCCTCTGGGTATTGTGCAACGGCGGAGCTCCATAAATTGGAGGTGGGCGAATGCACATGCATATGCAAAAAATTTTGGGGTCACATAGGGCTCCCAAATTTAAGGATCAAGTTCTTGTTCGTTAACTAGATATCTTGCTCGTCGAGCGCGCCAAAGGTTGCAACTTCCCGTTATATAACTTGGCAGTTGAAAGTAAGCCTTACCTCCCGCTTCCGTCCCCAGATCAATATAAATCCCTCCTGCGATGTGCGGTCGACCATTGTCAAGTCAACCCTCAACGGCACGCCCACGAAAGTCGGCCCGGCGTTCAGCAAGCCCCCGGGCGGCCCAGCAGGCAGTGTCGTCCTGCGCCTCACCCAGCTAGGTCTGGGTCTCAACAGTACGGGCACCCAGATTTGCATCTCCTTATCGAGCAAGAAAGGGGCTCAGGGCTGCACCTCTCTGGAGACGCTATGTCAGCCGCCCCCCGGGGCCCCCAGCGGTGTCTGCTGGACTGCACTGTTCGACTCCAAGCTCGCTTGCTGTAAAGTCTCCTCGAAGCCTCCCGCTCCACCAGCTTTCCCCCCTTCTCCCCCTCCCCCGCCGCCGCCTCCCCCCCCTCCTCCGCCTCCCCCACCGTCACCCGCACCGCCGCAAATGCCCCCTCCTCCTTCACCTCTTCTGCCTTCCCAGCCATCCGCGCCGCCGCCTCCTTACCCGCCGTCACCTGAAATACCCTCTCTTCCACCGCCGCCGCCTCCCCCACCACCGCCTCCCTCGTCGCCACCCTCGCTTTTCCCTCCCGATCTACCTCCTCCTTGCAAGGTCTGCACCTACGTAACCTTCGTGCCTTATGAAACTGTGGGGGCGAATTTTTCCTTTTCCACCGATCATTGCTACGATATCGCAAATCGAATTATTGACGACCTGAGTCAGTACGCAGAAGTCGCCAAACTGCTGCCAGTTGAGCCTGAGGTCACCTGTCGCACTGATCTGGTTAAGGTGTGCATCTACTTTGCTTCTGATGCGGAAGGTGCCAAGCTATCGCCGTACATAGATGCGCAAGCAAATGCCTGGCTAGACTATGCCTTCGGCTTTGCCTGCCCGACTAATCTAACGGGTCACCAGCTTGTAGTGGAAGTCGGTGGTGACAGCGACTCCTGGCCGGGTATCCCGGAGACCTGCCTCAATGCCAGGGCTGCGCTTGAGTGCCATCTCAGCCCACCCAAGTTCCCCAAGTGCAAGTAAGTTTCAGGAGGGTGATCCTTGGCCTGACCTGCGAATCCTAGCTGGGGATCCTAGGATGTATATATGGCCTGGGGTGCCTAAGCGGGTTAGTTAAATTGTGGATGTAAATCAAGCGAAGTCTTGCAAGTACCGCTAGCACACGAGGCACAGATTTTATGAAGCAAATTAAAGCTTTTAATATGGCTGAGATTCGAACGAGGAATAGTATTTTGCTATTTATAGTATTCATGCCAGTACGAACTGCTGACCTTTCAACTCAACAAGAATGTTAAACCCTAAATGTGGATTACTCCCCAACCCGCTGTGCTTCCTTCCTTGGCCGCTGTCCCGCTACACGCACTCCTTTTCAAGATGCGACACGAGCAAGTTCGCGACCCCGTTCGCGGCCCTGCCATACATCACCACTGCCCAGGGCCGCAAGGAGAGCACACAGCTCTACTGCTTCAACATCACTGTTGTGGAACCTACGAATTCAAGCGTAGGTAGCGCCTGATAATCATGCAACACATTGGACTGGGTGATGGACGGAGTAGTGGGGTCGCAAACTTGGAAAATAGGGAACTGAGTGGCTGTGTCGGTGGTTTTGCTTTAGGAATTTCAGGTAAAGCATTATTTCCTCCGTCCAAAACAAAAATGCAAGATCAGGAATTGGAAAAGGAAAGTGGACATGGTGAAAAATTACACAGTCCCGGGCAGTGTAGCTGGACACGTTACACCTCCCCCCACACACCCTTTTGACCGCTCGTGCCGCATGTCGTATGCTGCATGCTGTGCAATGCAACGCATCACGGAGTTCAATAGCTTCTCCTTCGTTCCTAAGCATTACATGCATTATATATAAATGTGATATGTATCTTATACATAAGCGGCTGAAGCGCAGCATGACATAGCATGCAGCACTCTCTAGCGATGGTGGACACCTGCTGCTCAGCACATGTAGGTGTTCCTTAGGTATAAACTTAGCCGGTCTACTTGCACGTTGTGGTAAACGTCCAGGTCAATCTCTCCACATGTGTTTATAGAATGCCCCTCCAACATCACGCACGCGCCCTACCTAGATGTGTGTTTTGTAAGACTCCTCCTTTTGTGCAGTCCGACTGGCCAGCCCACACCCGCCCTGGGACCGCCATGCGCACATGTGCAGAGTTACTGTGGCAGCACGGAAGTGCTGTTCAAGGCCGAGTTCTGGGCGAATGATACTTTGCGCGGCAGCTTGAAAGGGATCGGTGTGCAGCCAGCGGACTCTCCCTCCATGAAGTTCATCTCGGCCTCCTGGGGTAAGTCAGGCGACGATACCCTAAAGGCCACACAGCTCTACTGGACCAAGGCTCAGGCAGAGGGCGGCAAGATCTGCTTGGAGCTCAGTCGCGATACGGACCTGAACAGCTTCTGCCTTACCAACGGGATTCGGAATGCCTGCTGGTGAGCTCGTGCGTGTGTGTTGCTGGCTTAATTCGGTCATCCTTGCCTTTGTATTTAGAACGGTGGACGACCTTGATGTATGTAGACTACTGCCTCGGGTGGACTCCCTTACTGCTACTGCAAATGTATGTATGTCTCTGTACGTATGTAATGTATGTAATGTATGTATGTACGTAAGTATGTATGAATTAGATTACACTGTGGGCCGCGAGAGCCGAGGGCCGAAGCCGAAACAAAGCGCAAGGGTCGGTATGTATGTTGTTACAGGGTGGTTAAGCTTCACCAGTGGCCCCCTTTCCCGAGGCAGTTCCCTGCTCTCCCCTGCGAGAGGGGTTTCCCAACCTAATCCAGTCCGACTTCAGAATGTATTCGTTGTATGTATGTATGTATGTATGTATGTATTCGTTGTATGTATGTATGTATGTATGTATGTATGTATGTATGTATGTATGTATGTACTCATTCATACCGTCGGTCGTACGTATACGGTGTTCAATACGCCGGCCATGCGGCGGCAGAGTAACCCATCGTGTCGACAATTACTGTTGCTTATCAACTTGGTGTCGCACCTCATTCGCTTGTCGTGCGGACATTTGCATCGTTGTAGATTCGTATCTTTTATCGTTGTTGTGGTCTCGCCGCTGCTGATATGTGCTAATATGTGCTACCCTACCTGCCTGGCTGCTTGCACATAATGCAGGATAAACTTCTTCGACACTAAAAAGAAGTGTTGTCCGCTGTTCCAAGCAACTGTCCCTTGAGCAGTAAAAAGCAACGTCTTCCTGGCAGCAGGTGGTGTGGGTGGCCATCGGTCTCGATCCGTGCTGTTGTGCCTCCGGTTCTGCGCCACGGCATGATGAGGATTTCGTTTGCTTTTTTGTCCATTTCATCGTCTTACCTGACGAGTGCGCGTTCGTGTGTAGGGGATTAAGGGGTTATGGGCTTCGGGGATGTGTTCAACAGTTTGCTGTTAGTAGTCTGCAAGGCTGCAAGAGTCTAGCTGCAGTCAGGGGGCGGCGAGAGTCCTGCTCTCTCGCATGCGTTCCTGCTTTTGCAATCCGGAATAATAGTAGGAACGCAGTGTTCTGTTGTTCGTGCTTTCCTGGCGGGACGAACATATTAGGGTAAACAGTGATACTCATGAAGGAAATGAAGTATGCGTACTTCTTTCCCTTAATAACTACGTACATGCCATCATCATCACCTCCTATACCAGCTAGTCGGTTGCGAGGTTGCGTGGGTGTACGAATTTCGCTCAATTTGTTACGCTAGGCCTGCTGTTCGGTGGGAACACGGGAGATCAAATATTAAGCACCAGGCTGTTTCACTGAATGAAAATCTCTTCGCGCTGCTGCAGATTCAAGTACTGCATGCAGTCCATTTATGGGCGGACGGAGTTTGCAGGATGTATGTGCAGGGTGCATGTGCAGGATGTATGTGCAGGGTGCATGTGCAGGATGTATGTGCAGGGTGCATGTGCAGGATGTATGTGCAGGATGCATGTGCAGGATGTTGCTGGCAAGCAAGTGCTAGAAGAATATTTTAAACAGCTTGTTGGGAAAAGGTTGAAAGGGATTTGTCCGCAGTGCAATCGTAATGGACCATGACAGGCAAGAGTTTGCAGTTGCAAAACCTTAGAACTAGCGTTCATATATGTGCGGTAGATGTGATGATGCCTGCATGCGCACGGACGATCAGATCTTGTCCCCGTCTCGTTCATTCAGGTCGCTAGCTGGCGCTGTGTATATATCCCCACCACCTTGCACGTCGCCGTACCAGCCGTCGTTGCGTTGACAATCGTTTCCTGGATTTGCGATCTAAATTATATCTGATGATGCTTATGTTGTCGCTTCTGTTGCAACGCCAGCTGTGGACGCTTGCTTGGCCCCTTACACTAAACCAGCTGGAAGCCGTAAAATATATATTAGGTTCGTGCGTTTTGCGTGCTGCGATGGGGTTGCATGTCCGAGCTCTTCCGAGCTGCAATTATTGCGACATAGCATATGCTGCTTTCTTAAAGGCACGTGACTGCCCTGTTGGCGGTCTCCGGGACCTACGTAATCCATTACCAGGTATTTGCTCCACGTACTAATGCCTCGCTGAATATTGCGCCTTCCACCATAGCCCCTACTTTCCTAGCCGGTCCTGCGTCTTAATCGTTGCTGTGGAGCCGTTACAGTTGCGCTGGATTATTGCATAGACATGGAAAACCTTGAATTTGCCGCTGTACGGCAGGTAGTAGTGCTACCAGAGTGTACGGTGGTGGACCGGTTATTACCCGTGCTGACCATGGGGCTTCAGGAACTGGCAATGGAACCCTACAGGATGTGTTGTAATCCGACTAGCTGTGATGTATTCTCCAGCTCGGACCTCGATTACTATCTGCCATTCGCCTCAAGAAAAAGCGCCTTAACCTGTTGCCTATGTCCTGCGGTGGCCTACATGACCACCACCCGATTCCAGCTCTTATGTTGTGCAGGACTGCACCCGACCGCCGATAGGAACATTGTGACCTATCCTGATTGCCGGATCGTCCAGGAGTGTGGCCAGGGGGTGAAACACAATGCCTCATTTAGGAGCCCACTGTAACAACCACACCACATCATTTAGGAAAAGGTGCGAATCTTTGCAGAGGGTCTTCAGCAAGGTTTGAACCGGAATTCTTTGAAGTGATTAATGGAGCGTTACAATGGATCTGACCAAACGTACTACTGGGTGCTGCTTCTCCGACGATGCAAGCACTGTACAGGCTAGGAAAGGCCGGAATGAAAAGGCGACCTGGCGAGCCCCTCACCACTGCCCGGACGGCCCCATACAACCACGGGAGTCACGTGCCGCAACCTGGCATTTCCGCCCGGCATCGCAGGCCATGGAAAAGGTCCTTTGTCGCGGAGCGAACAATCCAGTTCCGCATGTTACTAATGGTTTGCGACGCTCAGTAATCCCCAGGGCAGGCTGAGGCAAAACGAAGACGGCGAGCGGTGACGAGCTTACCTCGGCTCGCACTGTTCCAATTCATGCAAATGGAGCGAGGGCAGTTCCCAGATGGAGCGTGGGCAGTTCCCTTGAGCCCTCGGCTCGGTTTGCAGGTACGGAGCACGCAACCACGACCATGTAACACAATAAAAACCAAAAATAGACCCCAGGAAGGTTGCTAAAAGGCCGCAGTTGAAGTTTAATGTGCTCTTCCAGAGATCTGTCAAAGATAACAGCTTTGTGGAATTTCAAATCCGACGTTGCCTCACAATGCCTTGTATGTGACCACGTACATCGTGCGTGGAGGCGTCCCTGAGTCCCGCTTCCGTAAAGCGCGAGAAGATACCCGCCGTAACAAGACCTCAGTTTGAGCTCTGACTTTGATTGGAGCCTCTACACCATCGAGGGGGCTACGAAAAAGGTCCTTTCGGTACAACCATGTATCCGGCATCCGGAAGTCGTAAGGCTCGCGCATGCCCTTAAACAACTAGAAATGTTCGTAAAAGCAAAGAACTCACGTCGCTGGGCACGGACATTCATACTTTCACAGGACGCTCCCGTAGCTTTACTTTCAAAAGTAAGGATCGCTACCAAAAGGCTGCTACGATGGAAAATACAATGCGAGTCACGTGTAGCTATCATGGGATTAGTGCGCCTCAAGGAAGGGTTGCTGGCTGGCTGATCGCGCCGTACTTCATCGCCTCTACCTCACTCGCATGCTCCACTGACTATTGTTGGTTGACGGCACAAAGTGAATGCCGTTTATCAATCAATGCCTTCCACCAGAAAACCCAAGTTAATGATGTCGTTCTAATAGGACTTGGTCCATGAATTCATGCCAGGCCTTCATGTCAGAGATTTGATAGGACTGTGCCGAATGTTTAAAGATAGGGCACAGAAGCTGCTGCAAAACGCAATACCGAAAGGGCCGTCGCATCCCTCAACCCTCAAGCAAACCTCCTGATGCAGCCCTCAACGGCCCTCATGGGCACGAACAGGTCCATGCCATGCATGAAATGTTAAAGAATGAGCTGCGTAAGAATTGAAGCCTGTTGAGGGCGGCCAGTATCTAGGCAAAAAGTTGTCCATGAGGTGCCCGCATGTATACCGCGCTCGGGCGCCGTGTCGAAGGGCGGCATGGGATCACAATATCGACTGCAATAAGCACATAAGCTTAGGAAATTCAATGATGTATACCGTTGTGCTTCATAGTATGTCAGGCTTGCTTGCATAAAGAACTACTATTTCGACATCGTTCGACATGGCGCGAGTAGTAAAATCTAATAAGGGATTTCACCATCGATACCCAGTGGTCACATGCGAGCACAAGTTAAAATAATATTTTACACGAGCATTTTTGCACAGTGCCCCGTACTAGCTAGGGGCCCCATTCGTAACACCAATCGAGACGACGGCCCCGCGGGGCGCTGACGGGGAATGCGTAAGAGCGGAAGGGAACAACATTCGTTAAGCCAGGGTAGTTGAAATAGCTGCATTCTTCTATATCGGTTGCCTGTATCAAACCATGAGGGCTATCGTCAGGGGAGGGGTAGAAACATACCCGTTCCTACCCGTAGAATGTTGACGAATTGCCACCAAAGTTAGCCAAAGCGAATGAAACACGGTGATTTGTGTCCTAACCAAGGCGATACAACCACGTTGTATCACGTGCTATACAAGACCAAGAAGTTCACTTCCGTTGATGTCCCTCGTATGGTGGGCGTAAGTACCGGTATATAATCCAGACCCACAGTGCTGCTCGGTAAAGTTTTTCCTTGATCGTCACAATAAAGATCGCACTTGACCATGACAAGACTTGGACTTTTCACCGTTCTATGCTTGGTCGACGTCTTCGCCATGGCTAGATTACGCAAAAACTCACTTGCTCATCAATGAGTTCTGCTGTTGTTTCCCATCTCTCGTTGATTCTGGAGTTGCTGGCACTTTCGTGGTCATGTCCTCGAGGCTTACATCCTAGCCTGGCTTTACCTGGCTTGCAGCTCAATTGGGACTAGTCTTCTGCAAGTGATGTTGTTTTGTGAACATGTGAAGATGTTTCAGGAGGATCGCTCTTTGCTACCTGCCCTGCCCTCATGCCGATGCACAGGACTGCTGACGCCGTGCAAACCGGCGAGGACAAGACGTTTCCGTTTTGCAAATGCGAAGCCGATTCATCGATAACTCCCGCCAAGGATGTTGGCAAGGGCAAGTTCTGCTTCACGCTGCTTGTGGACCCTACAAAGGCCAGCGGATACCGTAGTGCTACTTATAGTTCGTGCTACAATAATTCGGGAGGCACCACGAATATGTAGCACGTACAAATTCTAAGGTATCCCCAGGTACCGCAGCCCCGAAATATCGTACCCTCCGAAGCCGGTCGATCAAACTTTGCAAAAACTAGGATTTCAAGGCGGAAATCAGCTCTTAAATACATAAAATATAGTCATAAGCGTAGGGCATGAACAACGCTGGAAAACGTGCAAGACAGGCAACCCTGCTTCAATGCGGGATGAAACCGCTAGCACCAAACGCTCCGGTGAGCGACCGAGCTGGATTTGCACCAGGCTTGATGATGCTGTTGTCGAGGCCCAGCGTGAGCGAATGGAGCACGAGGAGGTTGCTAGGCGCGAGCGCAATGCGGTTGGTTATTAGGTCGTTGCCACTGGTACTGAACTGTACGATCGGTCCAGAATTTGCTAGGGCGTTTCCAAAGTGCTAAAATGGTGAGAGACCATGAGCCTAAGGGTTCCCGGTGGAGGGAGAATGACTGGAAGCTGCAGTTTGAACAGCCCCGAAACTTTGGTTGAAAAGCCCCGAAACTTTGGAAGGGGCCCCGAAATTTGTATCATGCCCGCAAAATCTGGTCCGGCCTTCCCCGAAATTCAAAGAGCACGTACAAATTTCAGAAAGTTTTTTGACCCCTCCCCGAACAAAGCGATCACGAACTATAAGTAGCACTACGGTACTGCAAGACCGCGAAGCTTTACAAGATGGAGGTGAGCTAACCATCAAAACCACATGTTTCGGGATATCTGGGTGACTAATAGCTTGAGGATCTTCTGTCCGTAGGACTTGCTTGCCCAAATTCACGGGGCCCGCGGTAGCCTTAGGGGATTGATATAGGATATTAGTTACCATGGGAGGCCAGCACAGTTCCCGGCGTGTTCCGTGTGAGAGCTCTTCTTGCCACCCTAGCTGAGGTTGTAGCAGGTAACGTTTCATACCTGATAGGCAGCCCGGGTTGCAAGGGGCCACTTTTGACCTCGGACCTAGTCAGTCATCCAGCTGATATGAGCTGACGTGTAAGTCGTCCGGCCCGCGATGGCAAACCTGTGATCTATCCCCACACTATTGTTTGCTAATCCCTTCGTCCATATTTGCTAGTCGCTGTCTCGTTAGCCAACTTCTTGGCTTTCGTGCTCGAACGGAACTTAAACATGGCTAATCATCTGCTGCTTTTGGCGTGTTCAACCCACAGATCCTTGCCAGGAGCACGTGCGAGAAGTTCTCCACCACCGTCAAGGCGACTCTCAACGGAGTGCCGACGAAAGTCGGCCCGTGGTTTGACTACCCCCAAACAGCCCCGCAGGGAACTGTTGTCTTAAAGCTGACCGATCTGGGCCTGGGCATTGACACCAAAGTCTCTGAAGATCCTCCCCGGTATCCACCACCATCCCCTCCCTCACCGATGCCTCCGTCGCCTCCCTCACCGATGCCTCCGTCGCCTCCCTCGCCGATGCCTCCGTCGCCTCCCTCGCCGGTGCCACCTTGCAAGGTCTGCGCCTTCATAACCATTCAGCCTACAGCGCCAGCGCCCATTCCAGCAGGCGTTTGCGACACATTTGTGCATACGGTTCTCGGCACCATTGTTTCTTTTGCGACACAGCAAAACGCCACTGTCCTACGATCAGAGCACAGCTGCTTTAGCTAATATGCTAAGCTGTGTGTTTACTTCGCCTCCGATGCGGATGGTGCCAAGCTGCAGCCGCACATGCAGGACATGATGAACACGTGGGTGCCCGACATTCAACAGCTCTTGTGCCCACTTGCAGCGGGTGCCGCCTCTGTGCCGCTCTTCATTGGCGCTGATAGCGGCCAATGGCCTCTCGGCCCGGCTCCCAGCTGCCTCAACGGCTCTTTGGAAGTGCAGTGCGCTCCGCCTGTGGCGTCCAAGTGCCAGTAAGTCCCGAATGGACATTGTGGGCGCGGTTTGTGTGAGATGACATGACAACTGCAAGTTAACAAGATTGATTGGCATGGCGTGGGTAGGAGCTAGACACGGCTAGAAGTGGCAATGCAGCACAGCATTACCGTCCACCCCAAATGTGGCTAGGGTAGATCTTCGTTCAGGCCTGCCATTTCTGAACATCGCAGTGATACCTGCATGGTATGGCAGCTCAGATTTGCACGTCACACTTTTCTCGACCTTTCTTGATAGTCCTTCATCTCTCGTTCCCCCTTAAAACCCTTTCACGCTGCCAACGCAAACCACCAGTTGCGAGTCCAAGGTGTACTCGACCCCCTTCGTGGCCCAGAGGGAGATCCGGACGCTCCCCGGTCGCACACGCGGCATGAAGATGTATTGCTTCAACATCACAGTCAGGGAGCCACTTGAACAAAACGTAGGTATCGTGCGTCATGAAGGCTTAGTGTTGGTTCGGCATGTATGTATGTCGCATTCGAAGTGGGCATCGGTTGTCAGTTGGGCCAGCCGGGATGGGCATAGTCGGAAAATGGTTGTCAGTTGTCTGTTGCGATTGCCATGAGGTTCGTACGGCTTAAGGCTTCATTCATCTCGTGCAAGCAATGCTAACCATCGTGCTCCGGTTATTACCCCTTTCTTTGATGAAATCAGAGTCCCTGCGGCGACTCCAACGTGCTTTCCAAGGTCGAGTTCTGGGCGGATGATAACTTGCGCCGCAGCATTGCGGCCATTGGCCTCAAGCCCTCGGGCGCCACCACCATGAGGTTCCTGTCCCCCAGCTGGGGCCCGGTAGGCGACGACATTCTCAAGGTCAGCCCCATCCGCTGGACCAAAGCCCAGGCAGATGGCGGCAGGATCTGTTTGGAGCTCAGTCGTGGTACCGACCTGAACAGCTTCTGTGTTGCTGGCAATAACACGTGCTGGTGAGTGAGCTGATATGCATGCTCTCTGCGCTTGAAAATGCACTTTTGCAATCGGTTGCCATCTGGGCTTCATATTCACATACACCCTTGCACCCGCAGCTAATGAGTCATGTGTTGTAGGGGCTCAGCGCCTCGTCAGGGCTTTTCGTTGGCTCATCTTGCTGTGCCTTGCTTGTAACCTGGCTGGCTGACTGACATCATTCGCTTCTGTGCTGCTGCTGTTCCCATTCTGACGCAGGTTGTTCCTCTTCAACGAAAGCGGTAAATGCTGCCCGTTGTACCGGACGACCCTACCCTAGGCAGGCTGCTGCGAAATCTGACTTCGCCAGTCGGCACTCAGCTCCTGTACTACGTTTGCCTCGACGTTACCTTCTGCTGTCCCCTCTGCAATCGTGGAGGGCGGCAGGATGGCGGGCGAGACCTGGCAGCAAACTTGCCGCAATCTTGGAGGAGAGTACTGCCAGCCGTACAGCACCGTACCTCGCATTAGTGTGCACATCCTTCGTCCTGACGTGCATTTGCTTGCTAACCGTTCTGCTAAAGATTATTCATATCACCGCCCGCTTTTTGTGTGTGTGGTGGCCTTTCTTTATTCCTGAGGTTGAATTCGAGGCTACTGCGGGTGTCACGAACTATTGTACCATGTACAGATGTACCGTACCGTACCGTATATAGTTGACGCGATGGACCCCTTGGATTGATGCACACCACGTCGAGTCCATTCACCACTGATGTGACCTCCATTCCGCTAAACCTATCTCCCCACACAGCGCATGCGCTATAAGATGCACCGCGAGATGCTAATTTAAATTGCGTGTCGGCATCTGTGGTGGTTAGGTGGCATGTTCGTATGTATGTATTTCGGTCGCCTGGTCAGCAGGTCTGATGGGGCAGCACGCCATGGCTCCAGAACACCGCACGCCATGTGTACCCAGGGAGAGGTTCATTAGGTTGGCGCGATGGGGTCATGTCGCTGCTGACTGTAAGGGCGCCAGAGCGAATATAGCTGGACCAGCACCACACTGCCGCTCCAATTCTTGCCTGCATATGGCAGCATTGGATTTTAATCGTGGAAGCGAGCGAGACTGCTGAGTATGCGTAAATAGGCGGAACATTGTGTGCTTGCGTCACTGTACTGCCGAGCGAGCCTCTCAAATTTGTTGTCTTTGTCGGTGAGACGATTATTGTGGTTGGACGTGCTGCTGTTGCGCTTTGCGACACGCACGTTGGACCACCCTGACCTCCTGGGGGCCTCTATAGCTAGATGTGCTGAAGCAAGCCTCTTCTGGACCCGGAAGTTGCCCCTTCCAGCGACCTGTACGGCAACAACGTTGGAAACGAACATGAATTTTGGCACTCTGGAGCCTCGGTGGCTAGCCGTTGCTTTTTTCCGTTGCTTGCTTTGCGTTTTTGATACTTGCCTTGTTAACGTACGACAGACTTAGTCCTGACAATGTATGTGGTTGACGATGCATGTCCAACGAACGTCTACGTGGTTTCTTCTTCTTCTTCTATCCGGCCTCAGCGTGGCTGTCACTTTCGGGGTAGTTCATTACGTGACGTGAGTGGTTTTCTTCTTGTGTTTCTCTCTGATCTATTTTGGCTTGCTTGCATGCTGCTCTGTGCGCTGTGATACCATACCACTGAGTCTAAAGCTTCTCTGCACAAGACCGCGGCAATACTTTAATATATTGTGGTCCTCATAAGGACTATCGGACGCCTCCATGAATTCCTGGTCGGCAGGCGGTCCAATTTCCTTTCTCTATGTTTTGTAGTGACTAGTCGCATGTACATGTACGGCCAGCGGTAGCTGATGGATCGATCTGGGCAAGTTGATATTCAATTAGCGTAAGGGCGCAATCAGATTTCGGTGCTGAAGTGTTGTAAGATGTTGATTATTGTGGCGCTTCCGACCTATTCCCTGAGTACATGAATGTATGTTTGTGTGTTTCTGTTTGTGTTGCCTCTTCGCTTGTGAACTCATGCTGGAAGGGAATGCTGTAAGAAACGAAGGAGTAGCATTTGTCCGTTCCCCTCGCCTTCTGCAACTGCTGGATGATCATGGAGTGTCCTGTGGGGCTCTGGGCGTGAATTGAATTATTTTGGGGTTTCTGAGTTCCCTGCTGCCGGGAACCCCACCACCACAACCCCCAAGCGGGCAGGAAGGAGGTGCTCCCGCAAGATCCCGCATATCACAATGTTTATCCCGCGTTCAGCGAATCGCAAGCTTATGCAGTTTAGACTTTGCTGTTGGGCATTGGCGGCTAACAGAGCGTGCAAGGGACGGCGTTATATACCTAGGGAGGAGCGAGTATGCCCTTGATGCGGCACTGATAGCCATATCGAGGATGATTTTGCTGGACTGTCCGGTGTACGACAAAATCAGATCTGATATGGGTTTCCCACGCTTCGAGCATATGAAGGACGCTATGATGTGGGAACCTGAACGCCTGGCAAGGATGCTGGAACGTATATGGTCCCACCGCAACTCTATCGTTCCCTTTGGTCGTTAGTATCTTTATCATTTGTTTCGTTGGAAGTGCGAGGTAGGATGGTGCTTATAGGCGATCTGGCAGCCCTTGAGCCCTCGGCTCGTATTAGGGTGGTTTGCATTTACGGGGAACGCACCCACGACCATGTAACAACAACAACAACAACAACCTCCACCTCCGCCTCCGCTTCTGCCTTTGCTGCCACGCCCATCATCATCTCCATCATTTCCCCCAACATGTGGCCATCTCTGCCTGATATACCTTGCAAAAGGGCCATGTAGTATACCTGTAGTCTTTACATCCAGCTTGGGTATCCGGGTTCGCAACTACACATTTCTTGGATATTTGAACAGTCTCAGATGTAGCCTGCTAAGTGTACCTGATCGTGCACCGAGTAGTCACACCGCTTCTGGAGGTATGGTCTGACACGGGCACCCGTCAATCCTGTCGGGGTGTGGATAAGCCAGCCCATTACTCGCCAGCAACATTTGTTTGCACCATGCGATCAGTCGGCTACACAGGCGAGGGGGAGCTAAGGGTGCATGGTTGAGGGGGACCTAATCGCTGGGAGCGGGAGGGGCTGGCTTAGGCCCCTCCCGCGCCGGGAACGTGTGGCAGGCGGGTAGGGTCGAGAGGTACACGATTTCTGGTTTGGCTTCATATTAGCCTTCAGTTCCTTGGGGTTGCCCCGACATGGAGAGCCCCCGCAGCTACCACCCGGTGCTGTGGGTTTGCAGGGCCGGCTTGCAGGTCCTGTGTGCTAGTGTGGTTTAGTCTCACCCCCAGTATAGTGGAGTACACTCCAGCGAAGTAGGGGAGTGTGCCACAGCCGGTAGCCGTTATCTTGGCTTGGAGTGCTTTTGGGGTGGTTAAGTAAGTACATATGTTCACACATACATACGTACGTACATGTCAGTCCTGCTGATCCGCTCAAGGTAACCCCTGAGTCCCTCGTGCCATACCAGATATTTGGAGTACCTGGGCAGTCGGCGGCATGGAGGTTGTAATGACGGGGGGTTCTTACAGGGTTGCCATGGTACCTGGGCTCTGGTGGTAACTCACCCTCCATGACCTGGTTGACCCTGACGCCCTACTCTTGGGCCATACCTAGGGTCTCTCCGTAAGGGTGCTGTACATGAAAGGGTCTCGATTTGCTTGGCGCTTTCTGGGCCGTGGTACGGGGCGTGCCTTAGAACCCTTAAGAGCCTTTCCCGACCTAGGAAGTCTTTTTGAGTGCGTGCAGCAACGATTTCCTGGTCGGATCGGCTATAACGTAATTGAGTCAAAGCTGTGTTGACGGACTCATAATAAAGATATTACTCACAGATCCGGTCGATGTCCTTCGCGGTGAGTGTGTAAAACTAACTGATGGTAGTTAGACGATCCCGGTTCCAAGTGTTCGGGGGAAACTGTGTCCAGCAGGATGCCAAAGTAATTAGGTGCAGCTACACTGTTGGAAAGTGCTCTTAGGTACACTCAGGCTTGACACTTCGGTAGTTTGATTAGTTGCCGTTATCCCAATACGACATCGGATCAGGATTGGCTACGGTATGCTTATATACTGCTTGCGTATCCATTCTCTCTCTCTCCTTGTGTAACGATATGAGCGAGTGATGTGTTCACTGAAGGACTCTTATCTCTAACAGGTTATGAGCCCCGCGCTTTAGCGTGCGGTCATCCGTTTGCCCGGTGGTGCCTTTTTCTGCTGTGTGCGGACTTAGCTGTAGGCAAGGATGAAAATAGATAAGGAGGATTTTTATTTCTCCATTAGCACCTTTCACCTCTTGAAGGAGCACGTCATCGGCGTCCTTCAACGTAAAGGACTAGCGAACGCGATCAGCCCCGTGCAGGCTACGCGGGATGTAGTGACAGACGAGCAAGACCAGCGAGCTTTGGGCGTTATCAAGGAATTCATCCGCGTCCTGGAGAAGCCCCTGTACGCGCGTCACGCGAAGGCGTACGACCTGTGGCTTGCTTTGGCGGCTAAGTATGGGCAGCAGACTCGAGCTGCGAAGAGCTTATTGGTTCAACGGTTGACCCAATTCAAGATGGAATCGAGCGAGACGATCAGCGATTACATCGCGAGGTTCCAAGCGCTTCGACTAGAGTTCGCAGCCATCGATATTAGTTTGNCGGATGACGAGGCGGTGGACCACGTCTTGAGGGGCCTACCTGATACGTATGCCATGATCCGCACAGTTATAGAAAATACTACCGACGTGGACGACGTCGAGAAGCTGGAGATGCGGCTACTCGTCGAGGAGCAGAAGATTGATACGGAGACCAAGAAGTCGCCCGTGAAGGGAGCCTACAACGTCGCGCGGCAGGCGCCACACAAGAAGAAGGACAACAGGAAGTGCTTCTACTGCAAGGAGCAGGGCCATTTAGTTGCCAAGTGTCCGAAGCTTAGACAGCCATATCCGCCACCACCACCGCCGCCGCCGCCGCCTCCCCCTCCACCACCTCCCCAGCCTTTCATGCGCCAACGACAACAACAACCGCAAGTGCAGCCGCAGGCCCAGGGCGTGCGGCGGCGACTAGTTGGCGTCATAAACACGCTTGGGGGAATGAGACTGGCACCCGGTGAATGGCTTCTCGACATTGGAGCCGAGGATCACCTGACCTTCACGCCTGAGGACGTGGAGGGTCTGAAGCCGGTGCGCGAGGGCGAGGGTGTCGTTTTTGAGGTGGCGGATGGGCGGACGGTTAGCTCGATTGGTGAGGGCAGGGCGGTTTTCGCCTCTTTTCGAGGGCAGACGGAATTGTCGGTACCTGTACACGTAGTTCCGGACCTGCAACACCGCCTGTTCTCAGTCAAGGCCCTGAAGAGATCCTTCCCGGATCAGGTGGTAGAGGTTGTCCTGTCCGCCGATTGCTCGTATATAGCAATAGACGGAATTCCCGCTGTCGATGTGTTCGAGGA